CAGCAGGCCCCGCCCCCGTCCAGTCCCATACCCGGCTCAGACCGGTCCAGACCTTCCCCGAGTCCGGTCTGGCTGCAGAGTTCTGGTCTGAGGTCCGGATCGAGGCCAGAGTCAGGTTCAGGGCGGTGCAGTCGGACACAGCCTCAGACCAGGTCCGGTCCTGGTTCTGTTGATGGTACAACCTCAGGGACACGACCCCATGGAGGACGCCTGGACACAGGACAGAACCATCAGTCCTCACCCCATGAGGACCATAAGGACTCAACATGCTCTGAGGACTGACCTGAGAGACCAGAAAGAGACCAGAGAGAGACCAGAGAGAGACCAGAGACCAGAGAGAGACCAGAGTGAGACCAGAGTGAGACCAGAGAGAGACCAGAGTGAGACCAGAGTGAGACCAGAGAGAGACCAGAGAGAGACTCTGTTAATTTGTTCGTTTGAAGTTTCTTCATTATTTGCAGATTGTGACTTTTTGTGTGAAATGTATTATTTTGACAAAAAAACACTCACCGTTCATGATGGAGTCTGAGGGAAGTCCTGGTCTCTCAGGTCTTTCTCTGGTCTCTCTTTGGGCTCTCTCTGGTCTCTCTCTGGTCTCTCTCTGGTCTCTCTCAGGTCTCGCTCTGGTCTCTCTTTGGTCTCTCTCTGGTCTCTCTCTGGTCTCTCTCGGGTCTCTCTCTGGTCTCTCTCGGGTCTCTCTCTGGTCTCTCTTTGGTCTCTCTCTGGTCTCTCTCTGGTCTCTCTCGGGTCTCTCTTGGGTCTCTCTCTGGTCTCTCTGGTCTCTCTCTGGTCTCTCCCTGGTCTCTCTCTGGTCTCTCTCTGGTCTCGCTCTGGTCTCGCTCTGGTCTCGCCCTGGTCTCTCTCTGGTCTCTCTCTGGTCTCTCTCTGGTCTCTCTTTGGCCTCTCTTTGGCCTCTCTTTGGCCTCTCTCTGGTCTCGCTCTGGTCTCTCTCTGGTCTCTCTTTGGCCTCTCTTTGGCCTCTCTCTGGTCTCTATCTTGTCAAGATGGCGCCTGTGCTCGGCCAGGCCTCTGCTCGACTCCTATGTCGGCTATTATTGATTGTTTTCGCAATTTATGTGGTCATATCAGCCCGTTTATCCATTGGATTTGTCTCTGCTGTCCGGAGCTATGATCGTGGCTCTCTTTTTCACATAAAGGAGTCTATGGAGTCCCTTTTTAGTGACTGGGGCAAGTACAAACAATCTTTTCCTCCCCCGTTTGTTTGCCGGCGGGACTCACCTGAGTTCTTGTTGCTGTCTCGAGCTCCTGGCAAAAAGAGGAGGCAGAGGAAACGTGGCTGTCGGTCTGGCGTCCAAGTTAGACGCAGACGGGCTCCACGGTTAAGAATCCCCACCCTGGATCACCGGGTCAGGTGTCTACGGTCGGTTCCTCTCTTTGATGTGCGGCCCGGCGGCGACGCGCTCTCACCGCTGTCCTCCCGGGTCATCTCGTCCAGCTCTCTGGAGCCAGTGCAACGCTGGAATTGTGAGCGTTGGGATACATCGCCTCCATGCCTTCCCGTGTTTACTCCGGTCCACAACCATCTGATTCCCCGACACAGATGGGGACCACGTGACCGTGTTGCGTACCTTCATCCAATCCCGCTGTGTCTAGCTCGTACAGCTCCAGCTGACACGAAGTCCGTGACGTCACCCTCGTTGCGGCTTGGTCTATTGAACGTCCGTTCTATAGCGAATAAATCTTTCTCTCTGAATGAACTTTTTACCAAGGAAAATCTAGATTTTATGTTCTTCACGGAGACATGGCAGAGAGAAGGGGAGTTTATTCATTTAAATGAACTGTGTCCTGATGGCTGTTCTGTCTTTGGGATGCCCCGCCCCTCTCGTCGTGGAGGAGGTCTTGCTGTGGTTTACAGGGACACTTTCTCCTGTAAAGTGATGAACTCTCAAGTCTCCCCTTCCTTTGAATCACTTGTGATTAAGGTTGGTTCCTCTAGCCCATTTTATTGCGTGCTGGTTTATCGTCCTCCTGGACCTGCTGCTGCCTTTTTAAATGATTTTAGTGACTTCTTATCTTCAATCATAAAATTGGAAAATGTTTTAATCCTTGGAGATTTTAATATCCATGTTGATGACAGCACATCCTGCCCAGCAGTGGAACTTTTAACAATGACAGAAACTTTTAATTTTGAGCAACATGTCTCTGGCCCTACCCATCAAAAGGGTCACACTTTAGACCTTGTCTTTTCACTTGGCCTTAATGTTGCCAACCTTTGTGTAGATGACGTCCACATGAGTGATCATTGCTGTGTTTTATTTGATCTAATCTCTGGTCCTGAGCCTGTGTCTTCTGAGTTTAGGTCTCAGAGGCGGATTATCACAGAGAACACTACTGTTAGTTTCTCCACTTTGTTTGATTTGAAATTATTTTTGGAATGTCACGATGTGGAAAGCCTCATGCATAGTTTTAATAGCCACTGTGAGTCCATTTTGGATCAGGTTGCACCTGTTAAATCAAATCTGGTGTCTCATAAAGCAGTGTGTCCCTGGATTAATGATGGTATCCGTGATATGAAGAGACTATGTCGGAAAACCGAGCGTCTGTGGAAGTCCACCAAACTTGAGGTACATAGGTTGCACCTCAGGGAACTTATGTCGTCTTTAAACGAAACAATAAAAAATGCCAGATCTGACTACTTCCGCCAGCTGATCACCATGAATAAGAAAAAACCTCAAGTATTGTTTGATACCATCAACTCTATTGTATGTCCTGCTGCTCCTCTTGCACCTGTGTTTTGTAAAGCTGACAGCAATGAATTTCGATTTTTTTTTATTTTTTTTTATTTTCCAGGTTATCATAGATCAACTTCCAACGCTCTCGTTTTGCACACCTGATGCTGTTGAGCTTGTTCCCCATGAGTGGTCCTCTTTTAGCCCTGTTACACAAGCCAATGTCTCAGCTCTGGTAACCAGAATGAAGCCCTCTTTCTGTGTGTCTGATGTTCTGCCCTGTAAACTTTTTGTCAAAGTTTTTGATGTCATTGGCCCCTGGGTTACCAATCTGATCAACCTTTCACTGTCAACTGGTGTTTTTCCCAGTTCTTTAAAACATGCCATTGTGGAACCTCTTCTCAAAAAGCCTAATCTTGACCCTACGCATCTGAACAATTTCAGGCCCATTTCAAAACTTCCGTTTTTGTCCAAAGTGTTGGAGAAGGTGGTCTCTGATCAGTTGGTAACCTTCTTGGAGAAACACAACATTTTTGACACTTTTCAATCCGGTTTCCGTAAGCATCACTCCACGGAAACCGCCCTGCTTAAAGTGTCCAGTGATATTATGATGTCTGCAGACTCTGGAAGATGTACTGTTCTTGTGTTGTTAGATCTCTCGTCAGCATTTGACACTGTGAATCACCAAATCTTGTTGACAAGACTGCGTGACCTGGTCGGAATGTCAGGACCAGTCCTTGCGTGGTTCTCCTCTTATTTATCGGGGAGGAGCTTTAGTGTCTCTGCAAATAAGTTCCTGTCTGACTCTGCTGATTTGCTGTGCGGGGTTCCCCAGGGCTCTGTTTTGGGCCCGATTTTGTTTTTACTCTATGTCCTTCCATTAGGGAAAATTATCCAGAGCTTTTATGATGTTTCTTACCATTTATATGCTGATGATATTCAGCTATACTGCTCTTTCAAGCCCTCTGAGATCCAGAAGTTAAGCTCTTTGCTGAAATGTCTTACGCAAGTTAAAAAATGGCTCGGTACAAATTCCCTCCAACTAAATTCAGACAAAACGGAGATGCTGGTGTTTGCCCCTGATGACGCTATTCCAGGGATTCACCAGTATTTGGGCGATCTGAGTTTGTCTACTAAAGCAAGCCTCAGAAATCTAGGCGTTAACTTTGACAAAGCAATGTCCTTAGAGCATCACTCAAAACTGCTGACAAGGAACTGTTTTTACCAACTGAGAAAAATCTCCAAACTTAGAGCAATTGTGCCAAGGGATGACCTTGAAATGATTATCCACGCCTTTGTGTCTTCCCGTTTAGACTATTGTAACAGTTTATTTTCTTGTCTAAACAAAAAGGAGTTGTCCCGTCTTCAGCAGGTACAAAACTCTGCGGCGAGGTTACTGACTCGCACAAACAGACGGGCTCATATTACTCCCATTCTAAAAGCCCTCCATTGGCTCCCAGTCACTTTTCGTTTCAATTTTAAAATCCTGGTGTTGACCTTCAGAGCCTTGCATGGTCAGGGTCCCTCTTACATTAGAGACTTGTTGTGTCCTTATACCCCCTCTCGGAGGCTGAGGTCTCAGGATCAGAACCTTCTCATGGTCCCTCGTACCCGTTACAAGACGAGAGGAGATCGCTCCTTCCAGGTGGTCGCGCCGACGCTCTGGAACGATCTTCCGCTTTCCTTGCGTTTACTTGATTGTGTTGATGTTTTTAAGTGTAAACTGAAAACCTACTTGTTTGAAAAAGCATTTTAATTCCAGTGGGAAAGGGGTTGTCTTATGACCACCATGTTTTGTGATTGTAAATGTAAATGTACTTTTATTTATATTTGTATTTTTTGTGAAGCACTTTGTGACCTTTGTCTGTGAAAGGTGCTATATAAATAAATATTACTTACTTACTTACTTACAACGTGGTGCTGGTACCAGTCAACAACACCACTGTCTCCTCATGGTATGTGTTGTTTTATTTATCACAGCACATGTTTGTATGAAGTTGAAAACAGACAGAACAATATAAGAACTTTTTCCTTCTTACCAGCTCCTTTCCTTTCATGTCAATGTTTAAATGATATGTAACTTTCAAATGATCATTGTGTGAACAATGTAATGAGAGGAAACCTATCATCAAAGGAACACATGAATACAAATACAAATGTACCTTTCCCAAACAGTCACCACAGTGTAAAGATGTATCTTCAGTGTAATAAACTGTGTAATGACCTTATGGAGGACAGGTTCATCTGTAGGTTCATCATGAATGTTTGTCTTGTAGGCTGCTCAGGAGGGACAAGAGGAAGGACAGGGACATGCTTCTGCAGGACACTGTTCTTCCAAAACAGCTGCACCAGGCCAAGGAGCCTCTGCCCTCAGTGAGCACTCTCCCTGCTGCTCCTGAACCACATGCTCAGGAGATGACTTTTGAAGAGCCTGAGAATCGTGAGGGAGAAGCTTTCCCCCGCCAGCGAAATGTTGCAGGACCCAGCCAACCTGTGCCTCATCCACCACCTCCCCCTTTCCCTTCACAATATGGACCAGCTCCTCCTCTCCAGCAAGCTCCTCATTTACAGTACCCTCCTACATTTCCCCATGTTCCTCCACATCTGCACCCCCAATACCCTTATCCTCCTCCATTCCCCCATGCTCCACCTTTTCAATATGCTCCTCCACTTCCACAAGCTCCTCCATTCCCTCAAGCTCCTCCACTCCCCCATGCTCCTCCGTGTCCCGAGGCTCCTCCGCTGCAGCACCCTCCAGCAGGCCTTCCCTCTCAGCCAAGGCAGCGTGCATGGAGGCTGAATAAAGCTGCCCAGGAGGATGAGGAGCGAGCATTAAGGGGCGAACCACCGAAGAAGAGGTTGGCCAAAGAAAAGTACCACTACACCTGCAAGCAGTGTGGTGAGAACAAGAGCAAGACCACAGGACACACGCAGGTGAAGGGGCGGTGGTACTGTCCGGCCTCAGGTCTGACCCTGGAAGACTGGAGGAGGAGCCTCAACTGAGAACACTGTTTTTTCATTTTTTATTTGTTATATTATTTGTGAATAGTTTTCTAAGAATATATTGCACTGTGTTTTAGGTGTTTGTTTTACCAGTCTGAATAAGCTTTGATCTCTCTGTGTCTCTCTGTGTATCTCTGTGTCTCTCTGTGTCTCTCTGTATCTCTGTGTCTCTCTGTGTCTCTCTGTGTATCTCTGTGTATCTCTGTGTCTCTCTGTGTATCTCTCTGTCTCTCTGTGTCTCTCTGTGTATCTCTCTGTCTCTCTGTGTATCTCTGTGTATCTCTCTGTCTCTCTCTGTGTATCTCTCTGTCTCTCTGTGTATCTCTGTGTCTCTCTGTGTATCTCTGTGTATCTCTGTGTCTCTCTCTGTGCCTCTCCATGTGTCTCTCTGTGTGTGTGTGTGTGTGTCTCTGTGTGTCTATTGTGTGTGTGTCTCTCTCCTCATCCTGTCTGCTTTCTGGTTTCTAGTTTTCTCTGTTGTTTAATGTTACAATAAAGTTTATTGATATCTTATACCAGATGATCCTCGTTGTTTATTTCATTTCCTTTAAAAACAGGAGTGTGTGTCTCTCTCTCTGTCTGTGAGTGAGCCTCATACTCTGAAAAACAGAAGCCAGAAACACTCATTATATTTATATATATTTTTATTATTATATATTTATTCTCATAACCCAACACATCCACACTCAGTTATACACGGTGAATACATTGTTTTGTTTTGTAAACCCAAGATACTTGGGTTCAAATCCCACCTCAGACACTTTTTCACACTCAAAACGGCAATTTATGTGTAGTGAGCAATTGTCACCTGTAGAGGGCAGTATTGTGTTGGGCATCAGTGGAGAGAAGAGAGAAAAGGCAGTCTTGTGGCATAGATCCATGGTTTTCAATGCATGGGCGTTACCCGCTGTGACGTCACACACAGGTTAGAGCATAGACAACTTAAATTCATGAAAAACACGTTCTTTTTATAAAATATAGGATTTTTTTTGCCGGAATCTCTTTCAGATTGACATTGTCATGCAATTTTGATATCCACAATTTTTTTTTTTTAAACCCGTCATAAGGTCTTTAACTAGAGGTGCAACGGTTCATCACTGATCCGTGATCAGATAAACGTCTTCGGTTCGGTACAGACGTGATCCGCGATTTGATTTATGAAAAAGTTGTGCGCATGTTGTTCAGTCTACACACAGCGTAGTCATGGCGAGCAGAGGAACGGAGAAGCTTGAAAGCCCTGCGTCATTTAAATCCCCTGAATGGGAGCATTTGGGCTTCACTGTAACTTTACTGATGATGGAATAGTCGACAAAACTGTCACGGTGTGTAAGTACTGTGCCACAAGAAAGACATGAGTGGAAAAAATCTTCTAAACAACCGCTTATTGCTGCAGCATTTAAGCAGCCCCTTTATGCACAGTCAGACCGGGCTAAAGTCAACTCTCCCGCGCATCCTCAGCTGCGCTCACGACTGACGCTTGGACGTCCCACGGAACCTATAATAGATCCATGAGCGTAACGGAGAGCTATGTCACGATAACCGCTCACTTCATCACAGCAGACTGGGAGATGAAGAGTCCGGTGAACGAGTTCTACTTACTCATCGATCAAAATGCTCGAAAGTAGGCGTGGCTTAGACATTTTTCACAATAAAAGCCCACTGCCTCTGCGGGACCTCTAAAGTCCGAAATAAAGACTCCTTTCTCGTAGTGTTTCTGACGAAGGATTGCTATCACATATAATCAACGTAAATCAGATGTGTTGTTGCTGTTCCATATACTGTCTGTGAATCGCGAACTGTTTCCCATGACACTGACCTGAACAGCTGCAAGGTGCGCAGTTTAACCTGGAGCTGCGGTGGGACTGTGGTGTTTCCATTCAATAAACACGCTCACAACAGCGATTTACAAACACATGACCAGCGCCTGCTCTCACACATTGTTCTCATATACTACAGTCATAAGAAATATTGATGTAGAAAAAGAAATCACATGTGGAATTAATGCTGTATGTGATCGCTATCACAGACCAGGAAAAGGACGTTCGGGTTGTATGAGTGAGCAATAATGTGACTAATAATGAGCATGCAACTGTGACAGGACGAACATGTGTGTGTGTAAAGCATGACAGCAGCAAGAGGGTGTCACAGCAGACGGCCAAACACATGTTGTATTTGTAGAGTGGGCTAGATCCACCTGCGTGTCCGCATACTCGCACCCCGCTTCACCTGTCTCCAAAGCATTGTAACGCAATGTCACTGGCAATAGAATGGTACACCCTGTTCCTGTTACCTGTGTCGTGTAGCCACAGACACACACACATAGATCGTACGCTCGGACGCGGTTTGGTACGTGGTGCAGCGACAGATTAACCTGCTGACGCATCTCCATATCCTCTTTCAGAGACGTCTCTGCAGCATTTCTCTGTCACAGCGCTGCGGACATGTGTTTTACGCGTTGCTCGGTCACAATTTCATGTCACAATTGTTCCCTTGTGTGCAGTATGACTGGACCAACATAAACATTTGTAATGAGCACAGCACAACACTGACATGAGCAGCTGCAAGGTTTGCAGGTGTACCACGTCCACCCCAAATATACATCATTTTGGCCATCTACTACTGTCAGCGAAATGTCCAGCAATCAACATTAATTTGTATGCATATTCATCATCATTCATGGGCATTGGTCTTTCTCTATGAACCAATACACATGGGTTCAATATTTCCTGGGTCTTCGCTGTTGATTCTCCAATCTGTGTTGGTGATTTCAACGTGTCTGTGTGGTCCTCTGAGATGACTGCTGCACAGTCCATCTCACACAAGGCACACATCTTTACATGAAACACACACAAAGATTAAACACCAGGCAAAATCACACAGGCAATGAAATAAACAAAACATCACACAAGGGACTCTTAATAACCACAGTGCACAACAAAATGGAGATACAATTCCTCGCACACACAACCCTCATCATAACTTGCATTTGAACATTGTCTTCCCTCACATGTTTAGTCTTGACTGTGGGCGCCAGCAGAGTCAGACTGATCATATGGCACCAACATGTCACAGATGTACCCTGGTGCGGGGCCGTGTTGAATCAGGCCTCCAACTCCATGAATCCAATTAAGTCCAATAGCTGGGAGCTAAGGTGAGCCCATAGTCTCACGTTACTACTCAGGAATAATATACTAATAGACATGTATACTCAATGAGTGGATGTCATGTTCTGGGCTGTTATTGCCTGATCATTTTACCAGTTATGTGCTCCGACATGTTTGTACATTTAGGAATACACACAAAAGGTGAACAAGAATGTTTACAAAGTGTCCCTCTAGCTTGCAGTACTTGAAGTTGCTTGTGAAGAGACTAAATGGCCCAATTCGGCTCCACAACACATGGTGCTCATGCTTGCTGTGATCAGCTGTAGAACTGGAATACAGACAGAGGTGTGAACATTGTGAGATTCATGCTCCACTAACAACCCTCCATAACAGGTACCCCAAAGTCACACGTTTCTCACAGTGCCATCAGGGGCTTCAGGCTTGCGGTCTCCTCATCTTCGCTGTCCATACGGAAACACCCACCTTGTTGCCTATGTCCTTCCCCATCAAACCATTGGTGGAAGGGTGGTAGGGGGAACACATACTGAGCTTCACCCCTAGTTGTCTGCATACTGCTGTAATCAACGGAATTCACAAGCAATGACACAATCCTGAACACGAACAGCCTTATTCTTCCCTAGGCCTACCTTATTGATGAATTCAGTGCCATGTCTGTGAGGATCCTCTGTGGGGCGCCAAAGCGATAGAAATTTGGCACTCAGTGCACTGCTTCACCTTTTGTTAGTAATAATAGCAATATAAGAAATCCTCATCAAGATTTTACATTATTGAGATCAAAGCCACTGAGTGCATTATATAGACAGTCAATAGGCCCAAACATACCCATGACTGAATGTCCCTCTCCATTTTAGGCCAGTAATAACGTGCAATGATGGCCCAGTGGGTTTTCTCCCAGCCATATTCTATGAATATATCGTTTGTCGCTTTGACTGAGCAAACCACCTTTGCAATGTGCGCATCCCCCCAAAGTGTGCGTCTCTTTGCCAGTCGTCTTATTGTAGACTTTAGGGTGTCATACATGCCTGTTAGCCATGTATGATTATTTGCACTACTTTGTAAGACCCACAGCATATTGTGTACTATGAATACGTGAAATCTGAACCCATGTTCCAAAAGACTGGACGGACAACGCTCATCATGACAAAAAGGTTTGTTTGTAGCATTCGTTGTAAAAAAGGTTTAATATATAAAAGACAGAATATAAGATACAGACAAGTGGCAGACTGCTTGATCAGTCTGGGCCCTGCTCCCTGGCACACCCAAAGCAAAAGACACTACTTCAAGACAGGCTATCGATGAAAAGCACACAGTCACATGACCTGATAATTGAAAACACATGTCTCACCATCCTAGGTGAACACAATAGCTCCTTTCTCCAAAACACACAAATAGCCCCTCTCAAAGTAAGCCTGAGGCTATAACAGATGTTCTCTGCACTCCTCTTAATTTAACTTCCTGTGTATAATAGCTGGGGGTGGGTTGGTTCCACACATTCTTCACCCTGCCTGGATCAATACTACTAGTAGTCTAACGTTACATTTATTAATATGATAATAACACAATAACATACTCCATTGACATAATTCCCCCCTATTCATAATATATAAATGTAAAGTTTTAACATCCAGCCATTACATCTCTTCTCAGTTTTCTGCAATACCTTCATAACAAACTTACACAGAAATATCAAAATTATCATCTACATTTGTGTGAGCTAACAACGCTTGACATTGATCCGAAAACAATGTGTCTGCAACTGCAGTGTTTATCATCCTGTTGGTTAAAGACTTCGCACATGGCAACAAACAAGTGACAAATATGCAAAATAAAACCAAAATCATTATTGCAGGTGTCGCTATTTTCAATATCAGTTGC